AACGCGATGGCTTGCCCTGGTAGCCGGTCATGTACAACTTTCGCGTAACTTTGCTTCAATTCTTCTTTGATAATTTTCTCTCTTGAAATTTTTTCATGCCCTTGGAGACCGATTTCCAGACGAATCAATGTCCTAACTCAAAGTACGAAGGCCTGGGTAAGGGGTTATACGCTTTTCCGAGTTTCGTCACCGGTATATGTAGTTTTCTAGTAGCTGCGCCGCGTAGCATAATTCACCTGTTTTTGCACCAGCGAGTGGTATAAGGCTGTAAGACTTTAGAAATAAAAGCTGTAAGGGGAGCAGGAAGCCAGGTGGGCGTCACTATGGGATCAGATTGGTCGACGGAAAAAGTTCGATTACAAGGAACAAACCTCCTCATTAGTAGTGTTGTATCGGCAAAGTGGCAAGCAGAACTTCATTTCCTGTTCACCGACAGTTTTACAGCATTTCTGAACACTAGAGTTCATAGAAAGTCTTTTTAAAGTAACAGCTAGGCTCTCGTTACCTGAATTCGATCATGGTGCACCGCATCGCAAGAACATTTGCATTCTTTTTGAAGGACCGATGCTCTCAACGACGATCCGAAACAATCGCCCTTGAAGGGGAAAGCTGTTTGGGTTTTAAGCCATGCTAGAGGAAAATGGAACTCACTTTCAAAGCTTTCCCAGTGCAGATTGGCTTCTCGTTCGGGCAAATAGTCTTCAGTTCTCGTAAAGTCATTGAACAGAACGCAGTACTGATGAATATTAACAGAAATGAAAAGCAGAAGAGCATTCGATTTGGTGGTTGGATGGACTTCATGAAAAAGTATTGATAACGAGTTGGGCTATAGAAAACCGAGAAAGGGAAATGTGAGAGATTACGGCAAAGATGTGGGTCAAGTTATCGTCCGGCCTGATTTGTCGCCTGTCGACGAATACTCTCAAAGTTTCACTTCCTTTATTAGAACCCAAAATTGACTAGTAGAAACAAGAATTCAATCGTTGAGAAAATGATCAGAAAAGAGCTCCACAATCGATTGAACTTCTCAGATTAGGTCACTCTATTGAAATGAGCGTAGAGCTCTACGGTTATCGTTACAGTCAAAGACTGCGCTGAAATAACGGGTGGAATGAAAAATTTCGAAATAGTTTGGATGAGAAATTTAGATAAGTTAGGATATGAATGCATTTTTTTGCGTAGGTCTTGGATGTTGCATGTGATGGAAGTTAAAAATAATAAGGGATGACAGTCAAGCCGTGGAATCTTTCATACACTCAGACAAGACATGCTGAGAATCCGGACTGGGTTCTCACCCCTCTGCCTATCAAAGACAAAGGATAAACCGCTTAGAGCTGATCAACGTCTTTTTTTGGTGCGCCAACGCTTTCTTTCAGGATCGTAGTGTTTTCTGAATGCCGTGAAATGAATGGCAATTAGTGGCACTGACGAGGGATTTCTCAGCCACATCGCTTGCTCCAAGAGTCAGGTTGAGAGTGTGACTCGCCCAGTCAACTAACATTCCATTTTGAACATCGCTTCCAAAAACAGGTTTGAGAGAGTTAAAGGCCGGCCCTAACGGCCTGTCTACCTTCGCACGCCACTGTCCTGATGGAATAGTCACTTAACAGCTGCTTTTGTTCAAAGGGATTGATAGCGGAAGGACTGCTAAAGAATAGCAGGAAAAGCAAAAAAGTGGACTGGAACAATGAAACGAGTCGCAAAACAACCCCATCCGAACCGAGACGCTCCGGACAGAAATACATACCATTCAAGTTGAATACATTGCTTAACAGCGAGTTTTTTGGTCAATATCAATGGACTGCTTAGACAAGCATTTTGAAGGCAAAGCCGGCGATCACAGATGGTGAATAATGGAGCTTAAAGACAGCTCCCGCGATAAAAGTCTCATGGGATAGCTGTCTTCCCGAGTTATGAAAACAGTAGCTGATAAGCAACCCTCCCACAAAATGAAAACAGGCAACGAGCGGTCCTGCGGCAAAAACAGAAACAAAATCGCTCCCGTCACGCGTCACACCTCCCTGCGCTTCTGTGGGCAGACCCTCTAGGCCTACACAACATTCTCTAGCACATTCTCTCAGTGTTGTATCATCCAGTGCAAAAAAAAGAATAAAGAAAACAACAAAAACGCAGAGGAAAAACTCTTGAAAGGAAAAAGGAATTTCATCAAAGCGGTGTCTGAATTTGGATTAGAGGTAGCGGCCACTTCGTTCGAGGTTTCTGCATCACAAAAATTGCGTCACTCGTGCTTTTTACGCGTTTCACCTCGCGAAATGAGTTGAATTGAATGTATATACCTCCAATGAGTAAACTGTAATAAAGGGGAGCAGAATTATCTCCATGGTGCATTTAGCAAATGCCCGCCGCCCGACTATGAGAACAACTGAGCGGCCTCCACAGGCGCCGGGGCCAAAACCCTAAATCATCAAATTTGCTGACAACTTGTACTCAGGGGTAGTTTGACATCCTAAACCCAAATATCACATCGCTCTCACTCGGCCCTGAACGCCTGGCGCCTCAAGTGTCACAATGGTTTTTGACGCTGGCGCTGATGGAAGACACTAGGATTATCTGCGCTGTGCTAAGACCGAGCCTGGCCTAAAGGGAATCACTCCTTTCCCGGGCTGGGCCACATAAGAGCGCTAAATGGCGCTGATGTTAAAAAATAAGTGTTATATCCGTGACAAGGGCATCAAACAACCATATTATGCAGGTTTTTATCGATTTTGACAAAAAGGGTGTGGCGCCTAAATCAGCGCCTAATGGCGCCAAATGGCGTCAGGGCTGAAAACTAATGCGGTATTCGTGATCAGGACATCAAGTAACCCTACTATGCAAATTTACATCAAAACTGGTGAGAAAGGTGGCGGCGCTAACGCTGAAAATGAGTGCTATATTCGTGATCAGGGCACCGACCACCCCTATGAGCAGAGTTTCAGCGAAAAAAGTTTTTATAGTAAGTAGTAGTAATAGTTGAATAGGAGCCAAAAACAACCAAACAATATTTGATTGCTCACTCGAAAAATATCATATCTCTTCACCTTATACCACTGCTTTTACACCGGTAAATCTACTGAAACATATCTGGTATGCGGTCTACGGACTAACGTCAAAGAAAGCCTTTAGTAAGTCGTTGTATAAAGTCTTAATACACAAAGAATCCGGGTTAGAGATACCCAGCATGTACAAGTGGCATGCAGCAGTCTCCACCTTCACTCTTCATAATATCTCGACATAGTTGTTATGTAAAGATGTGTTTCTAATGTGCCTACGAGGTTGTTAGGTGGAATACGTTATTACTGGCGTGACGCTTCAACCAGATCCTGATCATTAGAGGGCTGAACGTATGCGTTAGGCGCTCACGTTCAGCCCTCTGGTGATTCAGGATCTGGTTGAGGCGTTTGGTGGTACAGTGTTGTTCACACTATACCACC